CACAGGGACCAAAAGTGACTGTTGAGTCCTGAACCAGGGACCAAAGGTGACTGGGTTAAATGGAAACATTGACTTGATTAAATGATGGGATTATAGACTAATTTTGCTCTTGTTTCTTGCTAATTTTTTATAATAAAGTAAAATGAATATATTTTTTTTAAAAACCCAGAAAGTAGATAGGGATAGGAAAATTTATCATAAAGTTTTGAAGATGGGAGTTCATTATAATATTCTGTCTGCATTTGTATATTTTATTTTTTTTAATATATTCCATTGATTCTTTTTTAAAAAAAATATATTTTTTTATTGATTTCAGAGAGGAAGGGAGAGAGAAAGAGAAACATCAATGATGAGAATCATTGATTGGCTGCCTCCTGCATGCCCTACACTGGGGACCGAGCCTGTAACCTGGGCATGTGCCCTTGACTGGAATCAAACCTGGGACCCTTCAGGCCAGAGGCCGATGCTCTATCCACTGAGCCAAACTGGCAGGGCTCCACTGATTCTTTACAGAGAGGAAGGGAGAAGGATAGAGAGCTAGAAACATCGATGAGAGAGAAACATAGATCAGCTGCCTCCTGCACACCTCCTACTGGGGATGTGCCCGCAACCAAGGTACATGCCCTTGACCGGAATCGAACCTGGGATCCTTCGAGCCGACGTTCTATCCACTGAGCCAAACCGGTCAGGGCTGCATTTGTATGTTTTAAATTCTTTATGATAATAAAAAAGTTCTTTTTCTTTTTCTAGTCCTTAAGCGGAATGTTCATTAAGATCACATTAAAGTTACACTATCTGACCATGACTACCAGACTCATACCCAGAGAGCATCTAGGCAAATGTAACCTAAGTTATACTGAATTTTGCTCCTGATGGAAGGCAGGAAGGAGCAGACTGGTTATAGATTTGAGAGAAATAATTCTTTTTACTGCCCTCTTACAACACCCCCAATTATATAACTAATAGATGTAACCAACTCAAATTTTACATTTAAATATTGGTTAAAGGTGGTAGGTAGCATTTCCTGTGCTTTATTTATTCAGAGAGTGAAACTGTGCTATATGTTCTGACTTCTTAGTTGTGCTTAGAATGTGCTCCCTCCTGTATTCTGTTCTGGAAAAATGAAGCTTCTTATTATTTTGTTAGAACCTCAGACTCTGAAATGGGCAGTTATGATGATTACATACACACACAGAGTGGTGCTCAATTTGAGGTTTTGGATAGCTACGCATATAAGTTGACTTTTCTGTGCATTTGTATCGAGGTGGATCCAGCTCAGGTTGATGTCCTGGGAACCAGTGAGGCTCTCGCTTAAATCCTGAGGGAAGAGAAGAGAGAAGACAAGTGGAATCAGTCAATAGTAAGGAGACTTAGTAACCAATTTCATTAGTACTTCTGAGGGAATAGAGAGTGAGTCCTGTAGAATTCAGAAAAGAGAGAAATCATTCACTCATTCATTCATTTATTCACTCATTCAGTTAACTTTTATTTGAGTTCCTCCTATGTTCCAGGCCTTGAATTAGGTCCTGAGAATTTAAGAATTAAAAAGAATAGTCCACCTACTATGGTTTGAACGTGGCATTTTGTTATTGTAGCTTGTATCATATGTTGTTTCAAAGTAGTGTCCAAACTGGAAAGAAAAAGTTATAAATTAAAAATATAGGAGTCTACATCCAATATTTGGAAATAAAGGACACAGTGACATGAATTCTAACATGCTCTGCCATATTTTAGATTGACTAGAGGTCTATATATCATTACTCTATATCCTACTAACTTTCATAACCTTTTTATGTTTGCTTAGGAGACCTAAAAGGGCAAGGACCAGGGGAAAAGCTAGCCTGAGTCCGAAGACATTGTATATTTCTTTAGATGAACAAAATTCAAACAAGAAGAGAAAGAGTACTATCCATCTTTTTATTACCTTACAATAATGTAATATTCAACATCATAGTAAAGTGGGATAGGTATTCCAGCTAAGAACAGCTTCCCTCCCCAACCACTTCACTGAAAAGTATGAGAGATTTCAGCATTAGAAGTTATCAGATTCTTGCCTCTCAAATGGCCACTATTTCTTTTGCTAACAGAAGGAAACAAAGAAAAAGAAAGTTACATTACCTGGGAAGGCAAGGGTTTGGGCTGCATTATATTCCTTAGATCATATCTTTCCTGGTTCCAGTTGCCCATCAGGGTACGATTTGAATAGGCATTCTCATTAGTGGTGCATCTCCATCCATACTGGGAAAACTTGGACATATTATTCCAATCTGTCCACACTTCAGCATGGCCATCTGCGTTAATGAGGCTGCCATAGTGCGGGTTTGTAAGAAAACAGGAGAGGAACTCTCTCTGGGAAAAGATGAGAAAAGAAAAGCTTCTTACATAAATCAGAGAGCAGAAAAGGCATCCCCTTTTCACCCTTGGCCAAACATAATACAAGCACACCTTACTAAGAGTCTAGGCTTTCCTTCCAATTTGATTGCTATCATTGTTTCCTTTTTCCAGGTTCACAAGTCCTTTGACGTATCCTCTCAATCAGTAGTATGAATGACTATATAGATTAAATGCTCCCCCTCCAAAATACAGAAAAACTTTAGTAACCCTAATACTTTATACTAGCTAAATGTTCAGGTAATTTTGAGATGTGGGAATTTAAGAACTAAGAGTATTTCCCTGGCCTGTGTGGCTCAGTTGGTTGGACCATTGTACACCAAATGATGGTGGGTTCGATTCCCAGTCAAGGCACATACCCAGGTTGTGTGGTGGATCACCAGTCGGGTTGCGTGCAGGAGGCAACCTATCAATGTTTCTCTCTCGCATTGATGTTTCTCTTTCTCTCTTCCTCTCTCTAAAAATATAAAAGTATTGTTATAGTCAAAGAGAATAGGGAGAAGTGAGAACTGGAAAACTAAATAACACAATAAATGATAGTTTCCTTCCTTCTAGGACCAATTCAAATGCAATTATTCTACATGGCTTCCCTTGTCAACTTATTTGTCTCACACTGTACTTCATGTTCATATCTTTCTGTATTTATAACTGCTACCATGTGTCAAGAGTTTTTAAAAATATATTTTTTATTGATTTCAGAGAGGAAGGGAGAGGGAGAGATAGAAACATCAATGATGAGAGAGAAGCATTAATTGACTGTCTACTTCATGCTCCCCTCTTGGGAACCAAACCCACAACCAGGGCATATGCCCTGACTAGGAATGGAACCATGACCTCCTGGTTCATAGGTCGAAGTTCAACCACTGAGCCACACTGGCTGGGCTCAAGAGTTCGTTAAGTACACTTCCAATAGCCTATACTGGACTCTAAATCCCTGAGGACAGGATTTGTGTCTTATTATCACACTCTCTCCTTCTGCCTGACCTCTCAATCAACAGTTCTTTGAACATACCAGATGACCAATATCTGATTTTCAATTTGTAAGAAATCAAAAGAAGCCTACCCATTTTTATTTTTGGCGAAAAGAAAAATATAAAAGTCTGGTCCCTTGGCTTAGGAGCAAGACATTACCTTCCCTGAAAAGTAATTTGATCCTGAGGAGTTTATGTTGTTTGTAGATTCTATAGGAGAGTGACAGAAAACCTTACTCTTCTGGTCCATGTTCTTTAAAAGAAGAGATGTTACCAAACCTGGCCCTCCCAGTTCTTAAGCAGAGAAAGAATGTAGATCACTCGATCACCATGACCAGGTCACCACTCACCCACCTTTCCACAGGTAGGGACAAAGCCAATACTGTCCTCTCACATGATGTGCCTTTGCAAGACAGGTGCATGCACTGATGTCAACAAACAGCATAATGACTAAAGAGTAGCTGGTACCACAATGTTCAACAGGCTTAGTATTCAGGCTGCAGACCAAGGCGATACTGTCCTGGGGCAGTAGGACAGATACCATCATCCACTCAGTTTTCCACTCCTGGAACCTGGGGCTTATCTTTGACACCAATTCCTCTTTCAATCCCTTACATCACCTAATCATGAGGTCGTGTTGATTTTTTAATTAGCCCGCTATCCTCTATCCCCACTGCCAAGTTACAATTCAGATCTCCCTATCAGCCCTGGACTCTATGACTGCAAGAGCCTCCTGTTGACCTCCACGCCATCAGTCTAGTTCTCCAATCCTTCTTTTGTTTTGTTTTGTTAATCCTCACCTGAGGATATTTTTCCACTGATTTTTAAAGAGAGTGGAAGAGAGAGGGAAAGACAGAGAAAAACATGGATGTGAGGGAAACACATCGATGTGGTTGCCTCCTGAATGAGCTGCAACCTGGGCCCAGGCCTGGGAGGAACCCGCCACCGCGGTATGTGCCCTTGACCGGAATTGAACCGGGACCCTTCAGTCTGCAGGCTGATGCTCTATCCACTGAGCCAAACCGGCTAGGGCTTTCCAATCCTTCACACAAAAAAGCAGGGCTTTCGAAAATAAAAACTTGTGTTTTCTTCCTATTTAAAATGTTTCAGTGTCTGGCCCCTGTTTCAGAATAAGGTCCAGGCTATTGAAATGGCTTATAACGTTCTGTATGTCCTGGCCCCTGCTTAATTTTTCAGTGTCATCTACTATCTACTCTCCCTCCAACTACATTGCAGCCAAACTCAACTGCTCTGCGTCTCCATCATGCTTTGGCATATATTGTTCCTTCTGCCTCTTCACTCCTCTTGACTCCTCTTCACTCCCCTTAGCTTTCAACTCGTCTCAATGCCAGGGAATCTTTTATTATTTCCTTTTCTTCTTCTTTCTTTTTGTTTTATTGCTAAAGGTATTACAAAGAGTATTACATATGTCTCTTTTTTTTCCCCCTTGACCTACCCCCATTGCCAGGGAATCTTTCACTCCCCCCACCCCCCAAATGCTAAGGTTTCCCGTCTGTGTGCCCCGCGGGCACCCTGAGTCACTCCACTCCCGGCTGTGTCAGAATTGCCTCTGCTGCGCGTCCTTCCCCAGACCACAAGCTCAGCGACGCCAGAGGCCGCATCTGGGCATCCACACACGCATCTACCTAGCCGTGCTCACAGCGGCACACACTCATATTTCCTGAATGAACAAAAGGCAGGGGATGGGAGCACCTGGCGACATTCCGAGCAGTAGAGACAATGGCCGGCAGCCATTTTGGGTGAGACGAAGACTGTTATCAAATCCTGTGTGTCAGGAGCGAGCAGAACGCAGAACACGCCGACTTTAACCTCTCGGCGGCCCGAGTCCCGCCCCGCTTCCTTCACTCAGAACTCCCTCCCCCTCGGCCTCTCCCTCTGCGCTACCGACTGCTTGTGACCTCATGCTTGGGTGACGAAGTCGTTCGGGGCCCCCTCGGGCTCCGGGGATTTTATTTCAGACTCTCGAGGGCGTGGGCGGAGTATGGGGACGGCGTGGTCGGCGTCTCCCTTTGGCACTCATGGTTAGGTTCATCCCTGGATGTGGCTGCACTAGTTAGTCCAGACCACCAAGCGCTGTGGTGCGTCATCCACCGGCGACGAGCGAGGCGCCGTCAGCAGGAGCCCCGCGACGGAAGTGACGTATAACGGGCGCCTCCGAGGACGCGAGCGGGAGAGCCAGTTGAGGCCATGGCCCCTCGGCGCCTCCTCTTGGTTGGGGAGGGGAATTTCTCCTTCGCCGCCGCCGTGAGCGAGACCCTGGACCCGAGCACTAGTCTAACGGCCACCTGCCTCCAGCGCCCCGCCGACTTCGCGGGGGACCCGGCGGCCCGGGAGAACCTGCGGCGCCTGCGCGAGCGAGGTAGCGAGGCCCCCTCCGCGCGGCCCCGCCCAGCGCCGGCCCCGCCCAGCAATGGCCCCGCCCAGCAATGGCCCCGCCCAGCGCCGGGCCCCGCCCAGCGCCGGACCCGCGTGGAAAGGGTGGGGACGTGGGCACTCAGGAGAGGGTTGCTCCTGACAGTCCCGTGAAGATCCGCAGAAACCCCGCTCTGTGCCTAGACCGGGGTTGCTTCGCACGGTTCAGGTTAGGAAAGGGTTTTCCATGCTTCCAGGTCCTAAGACGTCCTCCTGTCTGTATTTCGTGCCAGGTGCAGAGATACGTTTTGGTGTGGACTGCACCCAGCTGGCAGGTGCCTTCGAACCGCACGGCAGGGCGTTCGACCGAATTTGTTTTAACTTTCCGCACTGTGGACGCAAAGCTGGAGTAGCTAGGAACAGGGAACTGCTTGCCAAGTTTTTCCGGAGTGAGGAAGGGAGAGCACGCACCAGGAAAGATGGACATGACATACGGCACTGGAACATTGTAGTTTGGGAAATCAGGCTCACGTGTGTCAATTACTGTGCTGGGTTTAGAGAGAATATAACGCTCCATAAGAATACACAGTCTCGTTGGAAAGGCAGACGTACAGTATCTGCCCTAACCAGTGGTTCTCAACCTTCTGGCCCTTTAAATACAGTTCCTCATGTTGTGACCCAACCATAAAATTATTTTCGTTGCTACTTCATAACTGTAATGTTGCTACTGTTATGAATCGTAATGTAAATATCTGATATGCAGGATGGTCTTAGGCGACCCCTGTGAAAGGGTCATTCGACCGCCAAAGGGGTCGGGACCCACAGGTTGAGAACCGCTGCAAGCAGTTTGGCTCAGTGGATGGAGCGTTGGCCTGCAGACTGAAGGGTCCCGAGTTCGATTCCGGTCAAGGGCATGTACGTTGGTTTCGGGCACATCCCCAGTGGGGAGTGTGCAGGAGGCAGCTGATCGATGGTTCTCTCTCATCAGTGTTTCTAACTCTCTATCCCTCTCCCCTCCTCTCTGTAAAAATCAATAAAATACATTTAAAAAAAAAAAAGGCAGAGGTATAACCCTGAAGGCTAAGTCAAAATACAGATTGTGTGCTCCTGGGTGTCTAAAGGGCAGATCACCTATTTTTGATCATGTAACATAATGGTAACCTGTGTAGTCTAAAGGTGAGGAGCATGGATTTAGGAGCCAAACTGCCTGGACTCAAATCCACGCCCACTACTTAATAGTCGTATGGTTTTAGGTAAGCTTACTTAATCCTTTTTTGCTTCCTCGTCTATAAACTGAGGATATTAATAGTAACTACCTCATAACATTATTGGGAATTCACCACAGTGCTTTACACCATCGATTTTCAGCCGGTGTCTGGCGGCAGGCACACTAGTATACCAAAACATGTGGCACAATTGCGGGTCTCTGGGTCACGGCTGTCAACAAACTTTTCACAGAGGCAATATTTCAAGTTAGTATTTGAAGTATAGAATTTTAATAGGCAGGAGGGGAGTGAAAAGAACAATTTGCTCCACCGGGAACTGTGACACAGCTGCAAGAATTTTTAAAACATGCAATGCCTCATTGTTTAGTCAGGGGCACTGACCCCTTTTCCCCTAGATCCATGGTCGGCAAACTGCGGCTCGCGAGCCACATGCGGCTCTTTGGCCCCTTGAGTGTGGCTCTTCCTAAGCCTTAGGAGTACCCTAATTAAGTTAATAACAATGTACCTACCTATATAGTTTAAGTTTAAAAAATTTGGCTCTCAAAAGAAATTTCAATCGTTGTACTGTTGATATTTGGCTCTGTTGACTAATGAGTTTGCCGACCACTGCCCTAGATTGTCAAATAAGAAAATGACAGCCAAAACAGTAGCCGTCCAGTGTGAATGAATCAAATTTATACCTATTTTTGTGTGTCAGATCAGCAAAAAATAAACTTTTTGGTGTGCCGCAGAGTTTTAGTAGTTTATGTGTGCCATAAGATGAAACAGGTGAAACATCGCTGCTTTACACTATTTACCAAAGCATATGGCATAATTGGAGGTCTCTTTGGGTCATGGTTGTCAACAAACTTTTCACAGAGGCAGTATTTTAAGTTAGTATTTGAATTTTAATAGGCAGGAGGGGAGTGAAAAGAACAACTTTCTCCACCAGGAAGAACAGCCTAATCAGTGAATCCTGTATAGGAACTTTGCAGACATTGACTTTCTATGGCATGTAGGTGAAGAATGCAAATACCAAGCTGGGTAACACTGGTCAGTCACTAGTGTCAGTTATGAGTTGAACATTGGATTTATATTCTAATTTACTTCCAGCTATTTTCTTTGCATGTTTCTTTGCCAATGGGTGTGACTAGATTTTAATTATTTCACAGCCAAACCATGTATATATAACTAACTCCTGTGGTTATTGCTACTTGTTTCTGATAAATGGCTGGTATTTTCTCCCCCCTCCCCCCATTAGCTGTGCAGATGTTCTTGCAGAGGAAGGAGAAGTCCATGTGGCATTGTGTAAAGGACAAGGTGGGACACCTGCTGATAATCCCACAAGAGAATGGCACAACAGTTGGCAAGTGGTTGCCATGGCAGCTCTAGGTGGATTTATTTTAAGTGATGTGCATCCCTTCAGCTGTGAGGCTGTGCCAGGGTACAAGTGCACTGGTTATAGGTAAGTAATAACAGAGGTCTAAGTCGTTTCAGCTCTCTCACTAATTATTAAAAAAAAGCTTGTAGGTTTTCCTGATTCAGTCTCAAATACTTGCTTTCTTTAACAATAACAGACTTCATACTTGGTATCTATTTTGCCAGGAGTCAAGATAAGTCATTTCATGTAGAAGGCGCTTTGAACCATATCTTCACCCGGAGCTTACCCTTTAAAGGTTCGCAACCAAGAATCTTCAGGGTCAAATTGGGTGACCAGTGGTTTTCTTTTCCAGAACCAGAAGCACTTGTAGGAAAGTTGAACAGGTAACTGGTATTTTACCAGAAATTACTTCTATCTCTAACTGTATCCTGATTGGCCTGATGGCAACCATATACTGAATGGATGCTACATATACTGTTAATGATGTTGGTGCTCTGAATACTTGTCAGTCTGGCCTACATAAGCCTCTTTAGAACTAAAAATTTTCTGGTATAGTGTATGGACGGTGGTTGTCAGAGTTCTGAAACACATGATATTTCTGTTTATGGTTGATGATTTCGTTGTTTCTTCAGAATCAACTTAAGGATAATTCTTTTCTATTTAGCTATTTGCACTTTATATTCTAACTACATTGTAATTATTTACTATTTTAAGTTTAAAGGGTTATTTTGTGTTTGTGCTTACACAGGGGTTTCCTAAAAGCATCTTCCTGTCATCCTATCAAAACCATAAATGAGAAACTGATCTCTGAACTGGGCAAAGCTTTCACTCTAAAAAGGCTGAAGTGTCCCTTCCCTTTGCTGCCACCTGAAGAAACCAGTGTTCTCACTTCCTGGAACTGTGACATTCTATCAACTGTCTTTTGGATTCATCTCCTTGAGGATAACTCAAATTCTGAGTCCCTGACTGGTGGGACAACAGAAGACATGGAGGACTTTCTAGTGTCACTTTCAGAACTTAGCTTTCCCAAGAGCCCTGGAAGAGATGGTGAGGAAGAAGCTCATGAAGGAATCTATGCCCAAGCCAAGATCTGGCTTAGACCTTCTCTCCTAGTTCATGTTCAGACTGTCATTCAAGCACCAGACTTCCTCCCAGGTTCGTTGTACATCCTCAGTGGACCTGTCTTTCAGAAGTGCCACATCTTACCTTTCACAATGCCAGCGTTCCACGAGACTTTATTTATCCTTGGGATTAATAAAAATCCGAAGGATGACTGTCTTCAGTCACTACTGAACCACCTGAAGGGCATTCTAGGTAGCCTTCTGATGCAGACATTGCTGGAGGGTTCTAAACTGAGCAATTCAGTAGAATTTGTCTTTCAACCAAATGGGAAAGATTATATGATTAATGTGAAGTCTCATAATTTTGGCCCAGGTTGTGCCAAGGATCTGAGTATTGGGTCTGTTACCACATCTGTTCCAAGCAGTATACATGAAGAACAGTGTTTTGTGTTTGTGTCTATAAACTTGGACCTATTAGCCATGCTTGTCTGGGGTATCTCTGACTGGAGGATGTTGTGGACCTTTGATAAACGTTTTCTGAAGAATTTTGTCCCTGAGAAAATAGAACCCTTTAAAAGTTATTCCCTATATCCTCCAATCTATGTGCATGATATTAGTTTTTGGTTAGATGAGAAAAAAGGATTTGATGAACTAGAGTTTCACACTGTGGCCCGAGCAGTGTCCCAAGACACTGTCATATCCATACAATTCCTTAGTCGTTTTCAGCATCCCAAGACTAAGCAGGTCAGTCTCTGCTATAGACTGACCTACCAGACCTGTGACAAGGCCCTTACCCAGCAGCAGGTAGCATCAATGCAGTCCCAG